TTTTGATCACGAAAAGAGGACACTCTCAAGTGTGAGAACAGTTATGGTTGCCATAGGAGTCCTCACTGAATTTGATAGGTCCTAGTCAAAAAAATGAAAACTGCAGTCAACCACGGTTCTAGCTTTCAGCACCAAGAACAAAATGGCTAAGTGGAGAATGCAACATTACTACCAGAAACAAGCATCCGTATAAAATATTGCAAATAAACGCTATTTGACTTAAATCCGGTTGGCACACTAGATCTGTGTTACAGTCAGAATACATAGTTATCTGTTAAGTTTTTGTCAAGCAAAAGTATAGTGAATCCCAGTTTATAATATGCATGAGCTCAGAAAGGCAAATCATGGGATGTTTTGGGGAAGCCAAAATGGCTGATCAACAAGTCATCAGATCGCCGCCATTGCTTCCTGGGCAGTGTGCACACGCAGCACACAGGAAGTGACTTAAACAGTGACCTGACGAGTAGGAAGTCAGTCACATTGATTTTCCCGTGTTAGTTGGTGTTTTATCTTTCTGCGATGATGTGATGAAGCCAAATATTTACACCTTCCATCAGGAATCTCTTGAAATAAATCATTGCACCACATTGCAGCTTATTACAAAATGCAATGGCCCCCAAAGACAACAGTAGTATCTTGAATCCAGTAACCAAATAATTATATTCCTCTACAAATTTCCACTTTCTCTCCTTGCCTGGTTTAGATGCCCGCAACCTTGCCTGGATGGCAAGGCAGCCATGCAACAAATTCCGAGGTCTCTGACAAGTTCCCTCGAAGCACAAGCTTGCAGACTCACCTGCTGAATGCTGAATTTAAATGACTTGCCATCACTTCCAGCAGGATAGTTACACAGAGCAAGAAATGGGATTGATATTTCCTGGTCTCCACAGGGGCTGGACAGAGCTCTGCACAAAAACTACTGACCACATACTCAGTGCTGCCAAATACAATCTTTCAATGTTATTAAAGAGCCAAGGGTGAGAGAGGCTAATTTGGAAAGATTAGAAAAAATATAAAGAGCTGTCAGATGGACTGCCTGAGAACATCCAAACTAAATTTTATTTTGCAATTAAAAGTAATTTTGAAAATTGGCTGCAGTACAGATCTGATTTATATTGCAGCTGATACATTTGCTCCTGAAACCACCTTCCAAGTTAGCTTTGGGAAATGGGCCGTGGAATCAAGCAAATGCCTGTGAAACAGGAGCTAGACTGCACTTTCAGCAGCAATTCGATCCGAAAACAAGAGTCAAATTGATGCTAACTGCAGTATAAATAGGATGTGGTTCTCTCTCTTTGCGTGCAAGAGTAAGATAATTTCTGTCCTTTGCCCTGCCTTTGACAAAATAGCAAGATGAAGCATTTAGTTACCCTTAGATGATCATAAGTGAAAGCATCAACCAACAATGCAAGAGAATCTCACCAGGTATTCAAACTTTTGTTTTGCTTAACTATCTTAGCAAAGAAATGGTGATTAACAAACTTTGCATATAAGACACAGGCCTCAATGAAATGCATCCAAATGGGGAATAAATAGAAGAGGCCTTTGTTAGCTAACCCTTGAAGAGGAAATAGACAATTAACCAAGAACCAATGAAAGAAGGCCAGGAGGTTTTTTTAATAAAAGATTCTGGGAGAACAACTGGTGCCAGTTGATGGTTGTGGTGTTGTGGAGTCCTGTGGTTAGAGCATTCGCTTTGCAAGTGAGAGACCTGGTTCAATTCCAGGCAGGGCGAAACCTTGGGCAAGTTACCTTACTCCACACGCCTCATAATAATCCTTCCAAAAACAATAATTAAATTGGTCATTTTCAATCTACGACTGTTTGTGGGACATTGCTGTGCGCAATTGGCTGCCGCGTTCGCCCACAAATATACAGTCAATTCACTTTACAGTGTGGTCTGTGAAGCGCTTTGGGACGTCCTCCCGATGTTAAAAGCGCTATATCAAAAAAAAATGCAAGGATTGTATTGTTTGAGCTAAGAATAAAAGTTACCTTCCATACCAGTGTGGTGATAATCATTACGGCCTTTAACGGGTGAGACCTAGTTAATATATCTAGCAACTCCATAAGCATTCAGGGTAAATATTGTCTTGGAAACTGTATGAAGGATACAGGGATACATGCAAAGTGATTGAACAAATACTCTGCAAAATACAATGTTTTTGTGATGCAGTAACAAGGAAGTACTCTCTGTGGAAACGTGAGGCCAAGGTTGAATAATGGAACTATGGGGATGGTTATGCTGGATATGCTGGAGATTAACATTTTGTTTCAATAACACTAGGAGTCAGAGACTGTAAAAGTAGCATTCTCCCTGGAAATACATGAGGCTCGTCAGTGGGGAAAAAGTTCCACAATAAGAGGTAACTTAATCTTCCAATGGAAGGAATGGATTTAATGCTTTATGTTCTTTGGGAAATATGCTGGATAAAACGGTATTGATATCAGTAAACTGGGAAAACTGCGAGTTTTATTCTAGTGTTCAAGCAACAGCAAAGACTTGAAATAAAGAACTGCAGTCTTCTTTGAGATGCTTTGAGAACCTAAACAGACATAATGGGCTGAATGGTCATCTTCTGCACTATAAATTTCTATGGTTCTACTGTTGATAATGTACGTTTAAGGTGAGAGGTGGTAGTGATTGGTAAGATGGAAAGACTGACCTAAGACTTGTGAAAGGGGGAAAACAAAGTCAGTCTTTGAACAATCTATATTCTATTACTCCACTGAAAGGCATGATGGACATTAATGATTTAGGTATCGCATTGCAACAAGAATAAAAGCCTTGTATAACAACAACAACAAAGTTACATTTGTATACCACCTTTCACATCGGGTGGACGTCCCAAGGTACTGGACAGACAGAGTTTTGGACCCAAGCTGGGGTCGGGTCGGGGAGGGTGGAGGGCGGGGGGGAAGCAGAGTGATCGAAAGCACGGTCGAAGAAGAGGGTCTTGAGATGGGTCTTGAAGGAGGCAAGGGAGGGGGCGAGGTGGAGAGACTACAGGATGGAGTTCCAGAGGGTGGGGGCAGAGTGGCAGAAGGCCCGCCAATAGCAACAACAAACAATAGCAACAACAAAAACAACTTGGTATTTACATCGTGCCTTTCACGCAGGAAAGTGCCTTTGAGCTGTGGAATCTAAAGGAAAATAGTGAGTACAATGAATCAGTTGGAAAATAGTATACTGTAGTTGGGTAATGAGTGGAGCAGATCATTGATGGGAAGAAGGGATAAAGTGGGAGAGAACGCTCAAGTTGATAAACATGAGTCAGAGGATGAATCATTAATTGAGTGCATACATGAGTGATTAAAGAGGAAACTATGTGTGAACCTAACTTTCCTATCTATGATTCACCAAAAGGCCAATTTCTTCCCTTCATGAATTCAGGGTAAGTCAGAGAACAAATGCTTTCAGGTCCATTTCCAGTGATAGATCGAGCAGTACTGGTGAGGGTCTGAAAGTGGTCAGGGTTCTGTGTAACTCTCAGCTACGAAATGGCACAACACAAGCGAAGAGAGAAACTTGGGATGAAATGAGTAGAACCACACACAGAAAAAGTAGATTTATCAAATCAAGGGCAAAGCGGCAAACACGATAAACATCAAGAATTAAGTGTAAGATGTGTTGAGAAGACAATAAATCAAATGCATTTACAGAAAATGATCATCTAAACAGATGAATAATAATCCTAAATGAGTACTAATAAATGTGTTCAAGTATTGTACATAATGATGAAATGACTCTGTGTGTGATGTGCATGCTATAATTGACCATTCATAGAAAGATTGCTACAATGAGACATTACTTGTGAAAGTAAGGTAAATATTTGCAGAATGAAAAAGTATGCAGTGTTTGACTCCAAGAAATAGATACTTCACAGCACATTAGTGGGAGCGCACCGATAACCTTATTTTCATAGTAATATAGTATAGAAAAGTTATAATACCAGGACTTAGATAATTGAGCTTCAAGGGAGCATTCTACTTCCCCAATTGGGAATATAAAATGTTGAGATTTAGTAAAAGCTATAAAAGATTGAAAGAAAAAAAGTTCTTCACAATCCAGGAGTCATGATTATATACTCAGAATTAGCAAGTTGTTAGGCAGATAAGCATCATTTTGCAATGTCCTCTCAGTTGAAACATGAAATAACCTAAGCAGGGCAGTGAATCTGGTATTTTAAGTAAAGCCCAACGGATCTGATGACTGGAGAATCCATTTGTAAACACTGGAATGTTGATGTTGAATAATTTGGAATACAATGTGTTATTTTAGAGAATTGCTACAGTGCAACAATGGATATTCAAAGTGAAATGCATGCATCCTTCGTGTACAATACACTGCTTAAGGTCTACACACCAATTCAGGTTTAAAATAAACCAAATGCATTCACTTAACTATCATGGGGCAGTCAACCATAGTCTTTTAGACAAGTGTATCAGAGTGCTCGCTTCATTCTGAAATAGGTGGACATCTGGAGCTCTGTGTTTTTTGTAAGAAGCAAGACACCTAATAACTCAGAAAACTAACGAACTAGGCTATTGTATACTGTCATCTAAAAACCTTCATACCTGGTAATACATATTACTAATCATGTTTGAACATGCATACGTATACATATATATATATATATAATATATATAGCCTTGGTGGCATCAAATATATATTACCTATCGGTCAGATGAAGGCAACTTTGCAATGCATGTTACAAGAAGATCAAGTAACTTGCTATTTACAGTTTCAATGATTTTGAACTTTGTGCATCAGTCACGCAAGATTTAAATCCCACGCGTTTCAGTAGGCAAGGGATTCCTGCCCAATGACCTCAATAAAGCCTCTTGTTACTGCAACAAGCCAGTGAATACAAGTGGAAAAGAGTATCCCAATTTCTACTGCAAATAAGCCTATCCTTACTTTGGAAAGAATTGCAGCATAGTACACATTCTACGCACTAATTCTACTTCAGAACAAGAAATTAAATGTGTTCACTTACTTGATTAACTACGGTGGAGAGATGAACTGCAGCCGTTTAGACAAAAATGTCAAAGCGTTGTCTCCATTCTGAAATGGGCGGACAAGGAAGAGGGCTGGAAAAGAGAAGGAACATGAGTAGGAACACTTTGTAGACACCTTAACGCTTTACACAGAAGTAAAACTTACACAAGTATGGAAATGTTTCAATTTTTTTCTTTGTATAGTTGCACTTAGATGCAAATCATCAGACTTGTGCACAGGGAAAGGCGCAAGAGCATAAACACTGATGCAGTGTCCATCAATCAAAACTGAATAAGGATGATGCTGGGATTTGGAGTTTCGGATCATGGCCTTTAAAAGAGCTTGGTTAAAGCTATCTCACCTGTGACGAAGAACTGTAAGCAAGCCACTTTATTGCAGAGCTAATGGACGCAAGGTTTGAAATGAGTGATTTAATCAGGATTAGAAATTTGTGCCCAATTGTATTTGGTGGTTAAGAAATGATTTATACAAAACTTCCCCCTGGAGATATGTGGGTTGGGTGAAGTCCATGATAGGGGAAGCTTATGCAGGGAAAGAGCAATGATGTGCTGGATATCAGATTTCCTTTAAGTTACTAAATTAGAACAGTTTCACTATAGATGTTATTTCTATGAAAAACTTCCGGTCAAATTTTAAACTGAAAGGACTTGACACAGCACTTTTTGGCTTCTCAGAGTCACCAGAGATATTATAGTGCACATTCCAGGAAACCACCCGCAATATCACTGGCCAAGACCTCATTACGGATGATGTATTTTACTTAAGTGCCATTTAACATCAATGTAAGTTTACATACTGTAGACTTGAACAGAATTGATGAGAAAACCTAAAAATCTGGTAGTTTCGGAAGCATCGTCATCCCGCCACTATCTTATTCAGGTTCCTACTGTTCGTGTGAAAACCTGAATTTCAAAGTAAGAACAAATGTTTGCCCTGTTTACATTATTGCTGTGCAGTGCTGTGCTATTCAGCATCTCCGTTAAGACTCACTTGCTTTTACTCTATAATAGACTAGTTGATGTGGCAGTGGAAGCTTTTCGCCTTGTTACTCTGCACACTTGTTCTTTACACTTAAGATTCTCAAGGATGTTACCATGGATGAGTGGTATTCAGAGTAAACCTGATGAGGGAGAAGGGAATAGGTGAGGGGACTAGGAGGGACGGGGGACGTACGAAATAAAATCATGGCACAGGTAGGGTTGAGCCAAATGGCCTCTTTCCATGACTCTAGGTAACATTAGCAATGTATTATGTTATCAATGTTATCTCATGAAGATGCTCTTGTATTGGTTAACTGGCATCAAGTGTTATTTTCCAGAAAATATTTCTAAGCCAAAATTGTCCTTTTTTTAAATTTTGTTTTTCACCTTCCCCAGGAGGGAACCATGAAGAGAGACGTGTAGGTACATATTGTGAGGCAGGTGGTGTGGGGTTCTCTCAGGAATAAACATGATGTCACTCTAACGTCTTTCCAATTCAGGGATCTATGCTCTCAGCTACCAAATACTGATTTTATAAAAACAAGCTACTATTCCGCCACCGTTACTCAGATATTAGATACAGCGCAGTCTTATGACAAATGACAAGATTAGTATGGAACCACAAAACGCACACAATTTGACGATCAAAGAGAGTATTTATTGCGTAATAGCTCAAGGCTCGTCTTTGGGGATAGAGTGCAATGTTCGACGTGAAATGCCCCAGGTTTGCGTCAAAGTTGATAAATTTAGAAGACAGCATTTATGTAAATGGTAACTTACTAAATAGAATGCTCCACACCATCTACCTCCTTTCTGATATTTAGGACTATAACTCTTACGATTATTTAACTCCAAACTCTTTTCAAGTTAAAATATAGTAAATATGTTGCTTTTTTTAAAAAAAAAGCCTCACAACTAAACTAGTTACAAAATGTATCACTAACCTGCAATCATTTGGATTGCCTAGTTAGACAAAATTGACATCCCTTTCTCAGGTAGTAACATTTCTGTACAAAAGCATGATTCCAAATTACATGGAACCACCGGATTTATTATGCGCCTTGAAAAATGTGTGTACAGAGGGAATTACAGAAAATCAATAACCAATTAGATGATTCATTAATAAACTAACAATTTTTTTGTAAACAAATTGTTAAATGCAAAATGAAGGTCACCTGTAATTCTTCTGTACACATGCATTTACACATGGTGCACATTCCACATGTTTATACAAGGTGAATAATAAGTGCACTGGATGACGGATACAAAGTATTTTTTCCATTACCTTCCTAATGTGAGCTACAATGTCCACAG